GTTTCTTCCTGAGGAAGCAAGGCTGCCCCAGCTTTGCAAAAGCCAAGGAAGGGACTTCCTAGCAGGAGGACTCACCTACTGGTCTGCTCCAGCCCTTCCTGTTTGGCCATGGGTGTTATAGATGAGGCTGTCCAACATTCCCCTAATGCTGAGTGTAGTCTCAGGTCATGTTAAAGAATAAACTTGGGGAGTCCCATATTCATTGGATTGCACACCTGACTCTATCCTGTGTCTCTGTATTTTTCTTAGTGTCTTTATCTGCTGTATCTCCATCCACACTCCCCTCAAAGGTAAGAAATGGACAAGACACGCCGGGCGTTGGTGGTGCACACCTTTAATCTCAGCACTCGTGAGGCAAAGGCAGGTGGATATCTGTGAGTTCGAGGCCAGCCTGGTCTCCAGTGGGAATGCCAGGATAGGCTCCAAAGCTATACAGAGAAACCCTGTCTCAAAAAACTAAAAAAGAAAAAAGAAAAGAAAAAGAAATGGACAAGACACAAAGGCACAGACCCATGTGGTGTGAAGGAATGGGCCAGTCTCTAAGGATGAAGCCCACACCTGGAGGTAATACAGAATACAAAGTATTGAAAGGTAGTGATAAGTTCTTCTTAAGGCCATGTGACCAGTAAAATTAGGTAAGATTATGGTTGATATTAGTGTTTCTATTGTATTGTCCTGAAAATATTTTTGTACAGTTATTTGTGGTTTCTTTGTGGGGAGAGCTGTTTTTAGGGCCCAGGGTTTCAGGGTTAGGGTTAGGAATATGAATAGTTACCATACTTAAATTCAAGATGCCGTAGTCTTGATCCACAAGGGGCACTGACACCTATTCTAAATTAAAAATGTGTCTGTACACTTTTTTTAACCATTTATAACCAATCCCATTTAAATGAAAACAAAATTTATAAACAATATTTCAGAATTTGGGCTTCATTCATTCCAAATTGCTTCCTGCTGGTTGTGGGCGTTGTTCATACCATGGGGATCATGATAAGACACAGAAATCTGGCCATAGTCCTTGTTTTTGTAGTCTGCAAGGCTGCATCATCTCAGCTGTTTTGGATGCAGGATCAGTTGGGCTAATGCTTCAGGGGCTCTTGCTTGATCAAACCATATTAGTCTGGAAGGAATCCACAGCTTTTCATTTTCTGTGAAAACTTAAGCAAGAAACCTTTTCCCAAGTAGCCTGTCTTTAGACTTAAATTTTGAAGTCAAAGCATTTTTAAAATATGTAAGTTGAATTAATTTAGCAGCGCTTGAAAGATTTTAGTTTGCTGAGAGAAAAAGTTTTGGAAGATTTTAGTTTGCTGAGAGAAAAAGTTTTGAAAGATTTTAGTTCACAGAGAGAAAAAGTTTCCCACAGGCCTTGGCCCAGGACAAGGAAGCTGGCCCCAACCCGAGGGCAGACAAACAATCCATTTTGGGTCACACCTGGCTGGCCAACAGACAATCAAGGACTTTTCAGGGTATGTTCTATGGTTTTTCCTTTATAAAAAAGCAGGTCACACCTGGGTGACCACTCTAACATGAGATCATACTTTGTAATCAATCACTTTATGCCCCTTGCCTGTGTGCTGATCTGCATTTTTTTCCTATATAAGGAGCCTGTAACCCTTGCTGGGGTGTGCAGCTTTCCTGATATTGCTGACACCCGAATGCGCATTTGTTCAATAAACCCTCTTGCTTTTGCAGCTCTTTGTCTGGTTTCTGAGTCTTTGGGGCTCCTCGGGATCCTGAGGCCTTTAGGGGTCTGGGGGTCTTTCACACTTATAATCAAATGTATTGTAGCACTTGTAACTCTTCCCTCAGCAATCAAACAATTTAAAGACAACAATATAATATATAATATCAAACTCTCTGTGTATTTTCCATCTTTACATTGCATTTTTTACTATTCTATTCCTTTTACTTTTTTCCTTTTATGAGACAGGGTTTCTCTGTGTAACTTTGGCTTCCCTTGAATTCATTCTGTACACTAGGCTGGCCTTGAAGTCACCGAGTTCTGCTTGCCTCTGCCTCCCAAGTGCTGGGATTAAAGGCATGTGCCACCACACCCAGATACTCTATTTCCTTCTGTTTCTTTTTCTCTCACAAGCCTACATATATTTTTAAACACTGTGTAAACCTTTAGAGGTTTTTCTTCTGAATCTGAATCTGTCTTTACTGTTACTCTTTACCTTTCTATGGCCATGCAGTCTTTTAACTGTTAAACAATACTGCCAAAATTAAAGTGGTGGCTTTCTTAGGCAGATAGCAGAGGTACATTTACCTTCAGCTCTGAGAGCTGTGCTCACTGTCTAGGTCTATGCTGCCACCAAGGAGCATGCTGCCGGCTTGGAGATGTGGTCACTACCACTGCCAGCTGCTTGTGGCATGAACCCACGACCCTAAGATTAAGAGTCTCATGCTCTACCAACTGAGCTAGCAGGGCCTCTTAAAAAGAGCCATGTGTTTTTGTTTTTGTTTTTGTTTTCTGCTTTTGCTGAGTCAGAAAGCCTCTCTTAAAGGAAGAGCTTGAGTCTCTTCTTGTCTCTAGCAAAACAAAGACTACCGGAGAACATGCTGCTACCAAGAAGTCCTGCTTGTCTCTGTTCTCTGGCTGCTAAAAATCCCTTTTTAAGCTTTTGTGAAGTTTACATGGAAGTTCATAACACTATCTCCAGCTGCCTGCATTCTGCTACCACTTGACTAGTCTCAGGAAGGCAGATGCAGAGCCTGGTGGCTTGCAGCGGCAGGTTCACCACTTCCTCTGGGAACCTCTGGGGGAGGGGTGATCCCACTCATTGACACCATTCTGCAAAGAAAAGCCCTTCTGCCAACGCCACCCCAGCCCTGCTGCCATGTGGGTGCTTTCCACCAAGCCTCCTGAGTTCTGCCCACCACATGGGCACCCAAAATAATACACAGAGACAATGCTGCTAGACAATTGACTAGGATTTCTTATATGCTAGCTCAGTCTTTTTGTCTGTTTGTTTTTTGTTTTTCCAGACAGGGTTTCTCTGTGACTTTTGAGGCTGTCCTGGAACTAGCTCTTGTAGACCAGGCTGGTCTTGAACTCACAGAGATCCACCTGCCTCTGCCTCCTGAGTGCTGGGATTAAAAGCGTGCACCACCAACACCTGGCTCCATAGCTCAGTCTTAAGTATCAAACATAAAGACTTATCTTATCAGACACCAGCTGCAGGTGTCTTCTCTTGCTGAGATCACATGGCAGCTCCATAGAGAAGACAGCAGGAGGAAGAGAGAGAACAAGAGAAAAGGCCTGTTTGTACTTATAACAGAGGGATTTATATCATGGTAGGTGTAATTATGACATGGTTAACGATACGACACATTTGTGATTCTATTTGGTATATTTATAAAATGTTTATGTGCTATTATGACCAGTTTCTTGTTTTCATTTAGAGATTAATCATGGCATAGGAATAATTGTGTGTCAGTGTAAAAGGGGTGGTCTAGTGATGGCTGCTTTGGTTGTCCATTTTACACATTTAAACCCATATCTTGAGGTGGGAAGACACATGACTTTGAAAATAACCATGAGTCTGGAAGATACAACTTTAACCTGGGCCACATCTTCTATTAGAAACCCATAAAAGGGAATGGAAGAAGGAAGCATTTGCTCCTTGTCTGCTTGCTCTATTTTTGACAGCACACAAATCCCTTCAGTGGCATACAGGCTTGTTCTTCTTATTCCATCACACAGAGAAGACCAGCTGAGACACCCATCCTAAAGGACAGAGCAATTTACTTGAGTATAGGACACTCTCTTCATAATTAGCCATTGTTGGATTGTCTGGGCAAAAGGCTGTATGTCATTCATATATATATATTTCCTCTAAGCACCAACCAATGTGAGTAATTAGCACACAGGTATTTCAAGCTAATATGTGACTTTCAGAAATTCTCCTAACAGTTCCTAAATGTCAATCAATCAGAAACCAATTCTTTTTTTGTTTGTTTGTTTGTTTTTTCATGGTTTCTATGTGGCTTTTGGAGCCTGTACTGGAACTAGCTATCATAGACCAGGCTGGTCTCAAACTCACAGAGATCTACCTGCCTCTGCCTCCTGAGTGCTGGGATTAAAGGCCTGTGCCACCAACACCTGGCAAGAAAACAACTCTTAACTACTGATGTAATCCTGTACTTTTGTCTTTAATCAGTAGACAGGGAACTTCACTCCCTCAGGAAGCTGCTGCATTCAGCTTGCTAGACATGGTCCCTGTCATGGTTGGATGAACAATAAAACTTTGTTTCACAGTTCACTGGGTCTGTCTCCCTGATGGTCTCTGGGGATCTTCACAACTTGGGCACATATTCAAATTCCAATTTCCTAAATAGTATCTCACCAGCGCCAAATTGTAGTATTTCGTTTTGTCTTTCCTTATTTGTGTTATTGATCCAAAGCTGGCATCTGAATTTAGCCTGTTATCCTTTGGTGTAAGTATATAGGCCGGGAGGCTGGTAGTGAAGCAGGGAATGCTGCCTGTCTTTTATGCTAAGGGTTCAGAACTCAAAATGGTGTCATAATTAAGGGTGCAGCATCCTTCTGGATGCAGATAAGGACTGGGCTGGCAGGAAGCCAGTGGAGAGTCTATGCAAAGTAGTTCCAGGGCAGCCTGCCAGCTGGAGCTGTGTGGAAGGCAGCAGGAGATGGAGTGGGAGGGACGGGTACCTAATGGGGAGGTGACAAGGTCTACTCAGAAGAAAAGAATCAGGGAAGTGCAGTTGGGCAATTAATCTAGAAAGGCGAGCCTCCCCACCATCCCTGTAGGCGATTTTGACAAACCATGTGACCAAAAGTGGATTTTTTTTTTTAAGTGGGAGTGTCCAGGAGGAGGAGTCTCCAAAGATCCAGGCTGACGGGACCGGAAATTCCTCCATTCCCTGTTAAACACGGTGAGCCATGTTGTCCGGAACTGGATGAGGAAGACCCGACCAGG